GGCATGCAATGTTTCAGCACCAATCCCTTCACCAGTGCCCACTTTTCTCCACCAATTTTCCCCCAAGCCTCCAATTTGTCTTCACCCACCAGTCTGCTTCTGTGGAGGAACTTTTTCTTTTTTGTAAGTTTTCACTTACCGTGGCTCATTTCACACTGTTGCCACTAGGGTTTCATACATGCCCCTTTCCCACATTCAGCGCCACCGTCTTCTCCCAGCTGAATGTGGGAAGTGGCGTGTAAGGGAAATACACTATCTACTGTACCCCAGACCCCCACAAATTTCATTTACCCGTGGCACATGCCCAAAAGTCCAAATAATTTAGGTGCAGCCAAATGCCTCAGGAATGTTTATGAATCTTGAATGTTATGAATCCCTCCACCGTAGACACTGCAAATTGGGCATTTGTTATCCCGCCGTTTGATCTCCTTATATCCCGTGTAGAGAGAGATCAATCTGTGTCCGTCTCTCTCCCTTTGAATAACTTCACTCTGCACGACACTCTCCAGTTCCTCTGTGTAGCAGCAAGATCGTTAGAAACTCTTTTTGTGTTTGTGTGGGGAGGGGATTAGATCACACCTGATGGGACTCAGAGGCTATTTCTGTGCCCCGGAATGTTCATGGTGGTGCCTGGTGGGATTGAACAGTGCTGTGGATTAAATCGGAGTCAGCTGCCTGCAAGGCAAGTGTCTTAACTCCTCTACTGATTCTCTGGTGCCAAGGTAGAAATACTTTGATCTTCATTTTGATCTTCGTAGATAAGAGAACTGAAGATTAGTTAGATTGGTTTCATTCCAGTAGAGGGAAAAAGATCATAAAAATGTGTGTGTGTGTGTGTGTGTGTGTGTGTGTGTGTGTGTATTTTTTTCCAGTGCATATGTGGTCATATTGTCAAGGGCAGAACCTGACCCATCCTTCCCGCAAAGTATGCACGTCAGCTCATTGAAAGTCCATGGGATGCCCATGGGATGCCCACGGGATGCCCACGGGATGCTGGGGATTGAATTAGGGTTGGCTGTATGCAAGTCAAAAGCCCTACCCCCTGTAATGTTGCTCCAGCCCCTACCCCATCTATTTTTTTCTAGTTTGGTTTTGGGCTGCATCCAGGGTTACTCCTGGCTCTGTGCTCAGAGGTCACTCCTGATGGTGCTGGGGGACTATATGTGGTGCCAGGGGTTGAACCCCAGAAAGCTGCCTATAAGATAAGCACCCTACCCACTGTAGTACCATTGCCGAGGTACTGCCCCCTTGGCTTAGATATCCTGTGAAATTCGGATGAATGAGCCATTCCTGTGAATTCCAGGGAGATGACCAGGATATGAGAAAGAAAACTCCCTGGGATTCCAGACTTTTGCTGGGGAGAGGAGACTGGCTAAAGTTTTCTGGATAAGGACAAGAAATCATTTCTTCTACAGGTAGGACTTTACATTCTTTTATAGGCACTTATTTACTTTGGATTTTTTTTTTTTAATCCAGAACACTCACATCTGCAAGGAGTTTGGGTGAGCTCTCCAGGTCTGGGGGCTTGTAAAGGCAGATTTCCTTTGACCCGCCATGAAGGGCAGCTGCCTTTGGGGTTGTTGTAAAGGAGCGTCCTTGCGCGTCTTCTCTCCTCGTGGGTAACCTGACCCCACTTCTTGGCAATGCCTTAGACATAACATGAAGGCGATGAGTTTGCAGATATCAATGGAAATGGGCCACTCTGTTCACAAGTGGCCTCTAGTCCCACTTTCTTCCTCTTGGGTTTGGTCGGGAGGTCAGGGGCCAGGACTTGGCCAAGCATACTCTGCATTCAAACCCTGCGCTGGGTGAAGGAAACTGGAAAAATGCAGATTCCTGGGCCCCACTTTTGACTTAGCCCCAGTGAGAATCATTTGAGGTGAAAATTGAGTGTCCACTTCTTCAAAACTTTCCCAGGGCTGGGGCTGGAGAGATAGTCCAGCAGGTAGGGTGCCTACCTTGCCTGTGACTGACCCCATTCAATCCCCAATACCCTATAGGGTCCCTGGGCCCACCAGGAGTGATCCCCGAGTGCAGAGTCAGGAATCATCCCTGAGCATTGCCGGGGGTGGCCCAAACGCCAGTTTCCCAGTCTCCAGAGCCAGATTATCCCAGGTTTCAGGCCTGCCCATAGTACAAACTAGTTGTTAGGTAAGTCTCTGAGCCTCAGTTTCCTCGTCTGCAGTATGGGGATGATCATGGCAACCCCAGGGGTTATTGGTGAGGATGCCGTGAGCTTCAGCTCCCGGATAGGCGCATGCTGGTGCCCCCTCGTCAGCTGTTCATCCAGCCCACTCAGCTGCAATACTGAGCTGGGCACTGTGTCTGTTCTTGAGCCCCTGGGCGCTCTGCCAAGCCTTGGCCTCCTCCCCCTGGCTCGCTCCTCTGGGCAGGGCTCATGACTCCCAAGCCTCATATTCAATCCAGCAGCGTCTGAAATTCTGAGCCTCTGCCCTCTCATGTAGACAACACCGGAAATAGCAGGACTGGCGAATGGGAGGCATTTGGGGGGGGGAGGGGTGCTACATGAAGAATAGGCCCAGGCTACCAGTAGGTCTATAGCTGTAGGTCTTCACTTTTCTTTCTTTCTTTCTTTCTTTCTTTTTTTTTCTTTCTTCTTTTTGGGTCACACCTGGCAATGCACAGGGCTTACTCCTGGCTCATTCACTCAGGAATTACCCCTGGCAGTGCTCGGGGGGACCGTATGGGATGCTGGGAATTGAACCCGGGTCGGCTGTGTGTAAGGCAAACGCCCTACCCGCTGTGCTATTGCTCCTGCCCCTGCAGGTCTTCACTTTTCCCTCCAGGAGAGCATTATCAAGAGGTGCTATTCAAACTCCCCTTTCCAGTGGAAGAAACAGAGGTGGTGGTGGTGGTGGTGTGTGTGTGTGTGTGGGAGGGGGGTTGGCAAGTGGCTGAGGCCTCTGTGAGGATGAGATTGAAAAGGAGTCCAGGACACTGGGTGTAAACCCTGCCATCCATCCTGCACCCTGCCGTGATTCCATGCACGTGGCATATGGAGCCCTCCTTAGAAGACTTGCAAACTCGCGTCTGGGCTCCAACGGGCTCTTCCAGTGCAGCCCCACACTATCAGAAAGGAAACTTTCAGGTCCATGGATGCTGACTCCCTTTCTTCTCCCTTTGGCTAAAGCCATCTTGTTTTCCTTTGGGGATGCTTCCTGGCTTGGCCTCTCCCTCCTCCATCCACCTGCCAGCCAGGGCCCCTGGACCCGGCCTATCTAATGGGAAGGTGACCGTGATGACAGCCACTACTCTCTTGGTTGCCAAGGCTGCGGGCTGATGTGGCGGGCGGGCTGAAAGGTCACCCCTTCCACCCTCCCGCACCTGGTGATGACCTCATGAAATGGAGCAGAGATGGAACTCAGGTGGAGGGAGGTGGAGAAGCCACACAGCTAAAGGGTTTTGCAGAGTCCTTCTTGGTCCTGTCAGGAGGTTCACAGCGAGCCAGACGCAGACCCAGGAGTGTTATTTCTGGATCCTGTTTGCCCATCATTTCACCTTGCTCCTTGCAAACCTCAGGGGGATGGAAAATTAGTGATGGTACATCAGTTAGGTGCTCACCCTGCATGCGGCCAACCTCAATTTGGTCCCCAGCACCACATATGGTCCCCCAAGCCCACGAGGCGTGATTCCTGAGCACAGAATCAGGAGTAAGCCTTAAGCACTGCCGGGTGTGGCCCCAAACAAAACAAACCTCTGACAGAACACATCATTGGTGCCTGAGGATGGCCATTGATTCCACTGATGACCATCTTAGCTGGTTGAGGAATCAGAAGAAATGTGCCCAAACCCAGGAGGAAACACCAACATCAAACACCTCTTGGTGAGAGGAGAACTCACGGGAAATAACAAAGATGCATGCCTCTTCCTCTGAGAACAACTGTGTTATTAGGATGCTACTTTGTATACAGAATCATCGATCAGATCAGATGGCAAGGCAGAGGAAGCAAGAGCCCTACATATCCTGTTTTTGATCCCATTGTTTGTAATTTCTTACATTTAGGGCAGCCACGTGACCAATTTTAGCCAGTAATTATGACTGTATGTGGCATTTGTCTCTCCTGGACCAAACTAGCGAGAACCCACCGGGGATGCTCTGATCTTCCTCTCTCTTTGCCTTAGCCTGAGGAAGCATTATGTTCTAGATGTCGGAAGATTATGGCCTATGCGGTCGGGACCAAATACCTGTTTGTGTAAATCACATTTTTTGCCCTTCCACTTCCATAATGTCGATAGTTGCTTCTCTGCTACAGAGGCAGAGTTAAATATTTGTATTGGAAAGATGTCCGAGGCCTCAAATATTCACACGCAGGTCATTTATCAGAAAGTTTATGCTGTTCTACAGAGAACGACAGGATGGAAAGTTTCAGATCTCCAGAGACGCTGCAAAGCCCATGCTAAATAGCTAAGAAAAACCCCCAAACTCTTTCTTGGGGGGGTTGTTTGTTGCCAGAGTGTGACTATAAAATTAAACAGAATCTTGGGGGCTGAAGTGATAGCACAGTGGATGGGGCATTTGCACGGCACATGGCCACCCACGTTCGATCCCTGGAATCTCATATGGTTGGTCCCTGGAGCCGGCCAGGAATGATCCCTGAGTGTAGGCCCAGAGCCAGGAGTAATCCCTCAGCATTGCTGGGTATGGCCCTAAACCCAACAAAACAAAACAAAACCAATAACAAAAAAACAGATTCTTGGGGCCAGAGTGTAGCTCAGTGGCAAAGAAGTCTTTGGATATTGCCAAAGATGAACCCTTTGTTTTTTCGGGGTCACACCCAGCGATGCTCAGGGGTGATTCCTGGCTCTGCATTCGGGAATTACGCCTGGTGGTGCTTGGGGGACCCTATGGGATGCCGGGGATTGAACCCAGGTCGGCTGCGCGCAAGCAAACACCCCTACCCGCTGTACTGTCACTCTGGCCCCAAGATAAGCACATTTTAAAAAATGTGTTTACATTCAGGAGGGATTAAAAAGTCGACTTACTTCCGTGCGAAGTGAACTACACAGGAAACACCGATGATGAAGAGGCCAATAATGATGGAGGCGATGGCGATCCACTTGGCGTTCCTCCCCAGCTGCCTGGAGCCCTCCACGTCACCATTGTTGTAGCTGTTCAGAGACTGGAGGGCACAAGGGAAGAGCTGGTGATGACAGGAAACTCACGCGCAAAGACAGACACTTCTCAGCTCTGAGGAGGCAACATGGTTATCACCTCCTCCTGGAAGCATTCCCTGACCTCCCAGGTGGATTTCACCTCCCTCCCTCCTTCCTCCCTTTCTCTTTCCCTTCCTTCCTCCTTTCCCTTCCCTTCCTCCCTCCTCCTTTTCCTCCCTCCCTCCCTTTCTTCTTTCCACCACCCCCAGCTATTTTCAGGGGATGTTTTCCTGGCTCTGTGTTTGGGAATCATTCTTGGGGGACCCTATGGGGTACAAAGTTTGTATATTAACCCTTTGAGCTAGCTCCTAAGCCATAATTTTTAATTGTATTTATGATTTATTTAGTATGTTTTGGTTTGGAGACCACACCGAGAAGTGCCCAGAGCACCGTATGGGGTGCTGGCGATGGAACCCAGATGGGTTGTGTGCAAGGCAAGTGCCTAACCTGCTATACTATCACTCCTACCACAGGCCCAATATATTTTTTTTCAAAAAGTAATTGATTGTTTTTGGTCTTCCAAGCTGTGTCCAGGGTGCCTGGGGACCCCGCCCAGTGGTGCTCAGGGGCTCCAGAACTTTCCTTCTTAGGGAGCCTGCATACTGGTACATTTTCTGTGGTGATCGCATTTGCCCCCCCATTTCTCTGTCAAGAGAGTTTCGGGGTTGTTGCCACAGTGTTTTCCCAAAGCTTCTCGGGTTTGAGCAGTTTTAATTCAGGCAACTCTCCTGGATGCTCTGCACATCTCAGCCCCTGAAGCTTCATCTGAAGGACGTGCAGGAGAGCATGAGTGAGCACAGAGAGCAGAGTCCAGATTCCAGGTGTTATCAGCTGTGAGAGTCAGAGCAAGTTCCACGTGTTCTAAGCTTCCATGAACTCATCTTCGAATCGGTGAGGGCATGGAGGGCCATGCAGGGCAGGGGACTGAACCTGTGGGGCAAAGCATGTACTTCATTGCAGGACCGTCTGTCTCCACACTGAAGGAATCATTGAGTTCATTTGTGAAAAGCAGCCAGTGCCGGGCTGGTGCACAGTCCACGCTCCATCAGTGTTAGTGTTTGCTGTGATTCGCAGCTTGTTCTGTCTTGTTCATCCCCTAAAGCCGCGACCCTCAGGGTAAAGCAGCATCTTCTGGGCTCCTTTCTTGGAACTGCAGTCTATCAGATTCTGTCCCTACCGGGAGCAGAGCACTAAAGAACCCACGCCTGAGAAACTTGGCTTTGCTAGCACTGGAATGAATGCTTCCCATAGAAAGTGTTCCTCCCCTTTCCACCCCCAGCAGTGCTCAGGACTCACTCCTGATTCTGTGCTCAGGGGTTACCCCTGGAGGTGTTCAGGGAACCCAGTGTGGTGCTGGGGATCAAAGTTAGCCCCTATACCACCTCCCTAGCCCTCCATATTCAGTTTTGAGAAACTTCACAAAGTCGGTACACAGACTCTCAGAACTCCAAATCGTAAGCTCATACTCTAGTTGAAAATGATGGCGATTCAGGCCCTCCCACGCAGATCATTATTCTACTGTTCTGTTTCCTCAACCCGGTTCTGAGATGTGTCATAACAATGGGCTCGTAGTGCGGGGAAAAGGGGAAAAAACGAAACTTTCCCCTAAACATTGTCAACTTCCAGCCGTCCTGATGAAAACCTGTTTCACATTCTTAGTGGCAGAGGTGGGAAGAGATGCTCTGAGCCCTACAGAAGGGCGGGTCTATATTGGTGCATCGCCCCTGGGCACTGTGGGATGGGGGCATGTATCAGGGTCACTTAAGTTATTTGTTCTAGGTCAGCAGAGCCAAGCTCGTGAGCCGGCTGAGGGAGTTAGGTGGAAAACCTGGGGAAGCTGTTCAACCATCTTCCCTTGTTGCTGGTCATCTTGGGTGAGGTGCTCCTCTCTGCAGGCTTCTCAGAAGACAACTTGAGCTCGATCAGTGGTCAGTTTGATGAGAAGGTGGGTCACGTCAACAGTGTCCTACCTTGCAATGCCATCTTCTCTGTGACTCTTTTTTTTTTGCTTTTTGGGTCACACCCAGCTCAGGGGTTACTCCTGGCAGTGCTTGGGCGACCCCATGGGATGCCGAGGATCGAACCTGGGTTGGTCACGTGCACGGCAAACGCCCTCCCAGCTGTACTATCGCTCCGACCCCTCTGTGACTCTTTTCATGAGTCTCTTTCCGCCTTTGGTTCCTGGAGCTGCCTGTGGGTGAGTCCCCAGGTCAGTATGAGTACGTGATGGGGGGAGAGATGGGAGTGGAGTGCTTTAGAACTCAGAGAACATTTGGACTTCTCTCTGAAGAACTTCACTGGTTGGAGTTTTGGACTTCAGGGTGAAGATCTGTAAGGAGCAGGAAGGAACGAATTTCTCCTCTCCCCAATGTGTGGCTATAGTAATTTATAATTCTCTTGCCATGCTACTATGCTCATGATAGTAAGGTCATTACTTTATTAGTGGGTCCAACCCAGGACGGCACAGGTGTGAGGCGTACGCTGTCCCATGAAGTCACACCCTTGCTCCTTGCGAGGGATGATTCTGTTTGTTATTATTATAGTTCGTTTATTTCCAGTTCTCAATGGAATCACATTCTGAGGGCTCCCTGGACGATGCTACAGACTGAAATGGCAGAAATGTTTGCTTGTTTTCTTTTGATGAATGCACTGTTTGCAAATTTTTCTATGAAGAACAGAAAGCAAATGATCACATCTGTTGTAGAAGAGCTAGGAAGAAATAGGGGACATCAACAGTGTTTGGTGGCATTGGTGGGGTGTTGGGCTATACCTGGTGATGCTTGAGGGCTACTCCTAGTGCAGTGCTTGGGGGATCATGTGGGGCCAGGGATTGAACCTGCTATGCCCAGAGGCAAAATACATATAGCAGTCCTCGGCCCTCTCTGGCCCTGGCTTACGTATTTTATTTTTTGATTATTTTTTGTTTTGGGGCCACACCTGGCAGTGCTCAGGGATTTCTCCTGCCTCTGCACTCAGGGATCTCTACTAGTGGTAAACAGGGAACCATATGAAATGCAGGGATTGAACCCTGGTCATCCATGTGCAAGACAAGAGTCCTACCACTGTACTATCTCTCCAGCCTCTGGCTTACATATTTTAAATAAATATACACTTTATTTAAATATACTCTGAGCTCACAAAGCAGTGCAGAGGAGCGAACAAAGAAGACCTCAAAGAGAGAAGAGCAGCAGTGCTGGTAGATGCGGCAGAAGCCAGGAAAAGCATTCATAACGCCTGCCTGTCCTTCACCAACTACAAGACCAAGATGACTGCCCTCTGACATCCTGATGGATCTATCACATCTTCCAGAAGGGCAATGGAGAAGATTACTCATGACTTCTACTCAGATCTCTTCAATAGTCACGTCCACCTGCCCACATACCAAATTCCGCAAGATGGATATGTCGTTCCTAACGTTCTCCCTTCCAAAATCTGACACGCCATCTCATTGGTAAAGAAACAAAGAGCACCTGGCCCAGACAAGGTCAGACCTGAACACCTGAAGAACCTACCACCAGTACTCATCAATACACTGGCTCAGCTCTTCACACGCTACCTGTCTGAATGCAAGGTTCCGTCCCAATGGAAAACCAGCAGGACTGTACAAGAAGGGAGACATCCACGACATTGGCAACTATTGTCCAATCTGCCTATTGTCTGTCATCTACAAGCTATTCACTCGAGTCATCCTGAATAGGATTGCAGAACACTAGATGAAGGACAACCATGCAAGCAAGCCAGGTTCCGAAAAGGAATCAGCACCATCGACCATATCCACACGATAACCAACTCATTGAGGTTTCTCGAGAGTTCAAGATGCCTCTCTGTCTAACGTTCATTGATTTAAAGAAGACCTTTGATTCTGTTGAGACAGAAACGGTTATCGAAGCCCTAGTCAATCAGGGCGTTCAAACTCAACACATCAGGATCCTCCATGAGCTGTATTATGGATTCACTACCAGGATCTCACCATTCTACAAAGAAGTGATCATTGATGTCAAGAGAGGAGTTCGGCAGGGTGATACTATTTCACCGAAACTCTTCAGTGCCACCCTCGAGAACGTCATGCGATGACTGGAATGGGAAGGAATGGGAGTGAAGATAGAAGGTCGGCAACTACACCACCTTCGCTTTGCTGATGACATCATTCTCATAACACCAAACATCAGCCAAGCGGCACAAATGCTGGCCGACTTCGACCATGAGTGTGGAAAGTTCAGATTACAGCTGAATCTCAGAAAGACAATGTTTATGAGAAACAGTCTTGTTCCTGACGTTCCATTCGCTCTCAAAGGAATGACCATCTCCGAATGCAACAGTTATGTGTACCTAGGTCGAGAAGTCAACATGACGAATGACCTGGTACCTGAGTTGCGCAGGAGGAAGAGAGCGGCTTGGAACGCCTTCAAGAGTGTTGAAGAAGTACCTAAGAAGATGAAGAACCCCCAGCTCTGGGCACATCTCTTAGATTCCACTGTTCTTCCTACATTAACATATGCCTCAGAGACCTGGGCCCTACGCAAACAGGATGAGAACGCTATTCGGGTCTCTCAAAGAAGAATCGAAAGAGCTATGCTTGGAGTATCACGCTTCACTCAAATGAGAGAAAGAATCCGGAGTCTCGACCCCCATCAATGCTCAAGAATCAGAGACGCTGTCTCGTTTGCCAAGGCATCAAAAATCAGATGGGCTGGACACGTAATGAGATTTAGAGATGACCGCTGGACTAGAGCCATTACCGACTGGATTCCACGGGACGTCAAAAGATCGCATGGCCGCCCACCTATGAGATGGTCAGACTTCTTCGTCAAGACCCTGAATGATCGGTCTGAGGCTCTTCGTGTTCCTAGAACGAGCAGATGCCATTGAGCTACACTAGTACGTGATAGGATGAATGGAGACGTTACCGGTGCCCGCTTGAGCAAATCGATGAGTAACGGGATATCAAGTGATCAAGTAATACTCT